AGTACAGCCCAGTGTCCCCAGTTCAGTCCAGTGCCACCAGTACAGCCAAGTGCTCCCAGTTCAGCCAGCACCTCACACACAGCCCCATTCCCAGCACAGCCCAGTGCCCCCAGTTGTGCCCAGCACCCCACACACACGTTCCCTCAATCAGCCCGGTGTCCCACGACACCACTCCCTGTTCCACACACCCTCAGTTTATTCCAGTGCTTCACGTGCCTGCAGCCAGCACCTTCCAGCTCATCCCAGTGCCCCCAGCATGGCCCAGCACCTCCAGTTCAGCCCCATACCCAGGCCATGGTGACCCCCAGCCCTGATCCCTCTCCAGGGGCTGCCGGGTCCTGGACTGCCCAGTGTTGTTTCTCTTGGCCACTTTGGGTCATTTGTGGCTTTTCAGCCAGTTCAGTCATTTACATCTCGAGAGCTGGTGGCAAAGAGCAGCAAGTGCTCGTCACCCCCCGTGGATTGTCATCCTCACGGAAAGGGTGGCCAGGCACTGGAACTGCCCAGGGCAGTGGTGGAATCACCATTCCTGGAAGTGCTCAAAAAACATGTGGTTGTGAGGACATGATTTAGTGGTGGGCTTGGCAGTGCTGGGTTAATGGTTGGGCTCAGAGGGCCTTTCCAGCCCGAATGATGCCCTGATACCAGGGTGCCTGCAGGAGGCTGGCTGGGGAAGCTCTGGACTCCCGGTGCTCATGGAAAGGCTGGATCGAGCTTGTTGCTCATGTTCACAATCTCAGGGAGCCTCATAGCTCTGATACGACCTGCCTCGTGGTTCCTGTGCATTTACTCCTGCCTCTGGATTAGGAAGGATGACGTTACTCCCCTGGCACTCTTTGGTGTCTTCATCTTATTTTGTGTTTAACTGAGACCAGAAATTATGAGCAATTATATTAGAGGATGTCCTGGGGTTTCATGCAAATTCTTCTGTATTCGACTGCATTAATAAGATATTTGACCACCCTGAGATATTCCCACTGTGGATTTTGCTGTGCAGTCCCCCCAGGGACACTGTGCAGGGGTGGGTGGCTGCTGAGGGAGATGAGCAGCACGGTGTAATCTGCAGGGCCATTCTCCACAAGGCCAGAGATAACAATTGAGCGAGAGGAGGTGACGCTGAGGGGACAGAGTTGTCTAGGGGTGATTAAAGAGCAGTCCTATTATCGCAGCAGAGCACTCCTCATGCACCAGCATTGGGCAGCCATGTTAAAATTTCACAGTATGTCTGCTTCAAAATATAATTTCACTTAAATAATAAATTACAGACATATCTGTCATTTCCATCTCTTGGAGGTTCAGTAGCAATTAGTTAGTCTTCCAGTTCTGCTAAAGCAAAGATTGCAAGTTCTTCGAGCACTGGTAGGAAATTAAAGAGTAAAGCCAGGATTTAGACTCCACTTTTAAGACTTCAAAAACTTAATATGCCTTGAATATTTCCGAGTTAGAGCAGATATATGTGCCACTTAACCCACAGCAGTCTCCTTGAGGGGAAGACAGTTTCTGCAGATAATACAGGCATATGGGGAAAGTCATCCCTGATCTCCCAGCAATGCCATTCAAGAGGTCACTGGATTTACAATCAGGACTGACAGAAATTATAATCCCACTTTTATAATTAGCTAACAGGCCTGTTGCTCGCTTCTGCTGCTTAAAATGAGAAACTCAGGCAGCTGGCTTTTAGAACAGGATTAAAACAGACCTACATTAATTTTAAAAAAAGTCACTTTTGGTGATTTTATGACAAAGATCCCCCATCTTCCCAAGAGTGGACAATCTTCTGTGGGTCTATGGATCATCATGAGAAGCAGCAGCAAGAGAGGAAGGCAGGTCTGGTGGAGTTTCCCAGAGGACATGGTTTCAGTGTCAACCCTGTGACAGAGGAACACCATCAGTCACGTTGTCCAGCTCCTTGTGTTGCTGTGGCCAGGACCCCCCTGTCTCACTGCCCCATGGGCAGCTGGAGCACTGGGATGAGGAACTCAGCTGAGAGGTCCATGCAAAGCCAGAGGCAGTCACTTCCCACAGCATGTTGTGTTCCGTAGCTGAGGTTCGTGCTTTTCCCTCCAGGCACACTCCTGAGGAGTGTCCACAACCATTCCCAGCACAGCCCTGATCCTGGGGGAGCAATGAGCTCCTTCTAGCAAACCACTGTCACCTTTTGGCTGCTCTGGCTTTTGTGATAGTGCAAGAGTAACTCCCAGAAAAAGAATTCAAATTCCACAATGATTTCAGTGATGATGACTCCTCCTGTGCAGACATCACTTTAAGCATTGTGCCTACATAGACCTTAATCCTCCAGTCACAGAGGACCAATGTTCAGGTTACACAGTGGGCAGCAAAATAGGAAGGAATCCTCAGGGCCTGTGCCTTATCCCTGTGTATATCTGGGTCACAGCATTGATTGAGTAACCCCTGATTGAAAACACTCTCACTGAGGAGAGCTTGGAGCACAGCCATGGACACGCCGTGTAACAGGCAGCACTTTGGGGAGGAGACAAAGACATTACACAAATGGATACTTCACAACAGCATCTTTAGTTTTCAAAATCATCTTTCCATGGGAAAACTGCAAGTTCTGGAAATGTATGTAGCAAGGGATGATGAAAGCCTCCTTTGGTAATGCCATCCATTTAAGCTGTATAAACTGAATATTGTGTTGTCCTGTGCCCTGGCTGCTGCCCATGCTGCACTTTGAATTGGAGACTGCACTGCTCTGCATCTGTGTAGCCAGAGTTAGCTCCAGGTTTCCAGGGAACATGTATGGCATTATCAAAGGGAAGATATACAAAGAGCTCTCTGATAATATTTCCTATAATAATGTGATTGTTCTCCCTTGGTCTCAGGTGAGCCCCGTCTTGTATCCCCTCTCAAAGTGAATTATCCAGCCCGTGGGCAGGAGGGCTGAGGAGGAGCTGTGGCAGTGAACACAATCTGAAATTAAATCTCAGATGAGGTGTTGGCCTGCACAGAGGGGATGATAATGCAAGATCACTGAACCCAACCAGGCTTGCAGACCAAGAGGCACCGAGTGCTTTGTGCTTGCCCTTTGGGGAAGCCCAAGGTTTCTCCTGATTCATGTGACGGGTGGCATGAGAGAGGCTTAAATTCAGGGCCCAGCATAGAGTACAAGGGATGGGTAAGAGCCCTTCTGCAAGTGCCACTTGCCCCAGGACACGGGGGACACCAGAGGATACAGAAGTTGCTGTCTGACCCCATCCCTACCACTTTTCTGGTACTACTGGTTCATTCCCAGTCAATTCCAGGACACAGTGGAAGAGCCACACTCCCAGGAAAAGCGGGGTTTGTGGTGTATGAATCAGCTCCTCCAGGCTATGGAGTCTGCCCAGAGAAGAGAGACCTGTCACCATGTGACAGCAAAGAAGAAACTCCTGCCACACACACAACACACATGGCTCCCACCCCAAACCCAGCCCCTGCCCAGCAGCACAGCACAGCCACACCGTGGCTCCCGAGAGAGGCTCCAAGGCTGGTGCCTGCTCCAGGTGTGACACCCGTACTTTGGTACAGGCTGGACATACTCCAATCCACACATGACCCAAGAACCAATAGATCCCTAGAAGGGCTTTCCCCTGGCTGGGAATTACCCCCTGTAGCAGTGGGGTACCATTGCTCTGAAACGCAGACACATCTTGGTGAGGAACCTGGTTGAGATACACCAACCTTCTCAGCTCAAGTGTGCAGGACTGTTTGGGCAGAGAACACTGTCTGACCCCTCTGACTGCACCAGCCAGCTTTCCATGCAGGGCTGCCAGTGCTCAGTGGTGATGTGTGAGGCTGCTGCAGCTTATCAGCATGGCAGAGAGATTTACCTCTGCTTCATGTGCTGGCAGGATATTCATGCCCAGAGGTTCAGCAGCGACCATCTCCAGTAGGGTATTTCTTTGACACTTTGCCCACTTATCTGTGATTACAGACTTGTGCTGGTCTTCCTTTTGCTTGTTTGGTCCTTCACCCATCCAGTGTGCCTGTGCTCTGATGCTACCAACCATTTATTATGGGATCAGGCATTCCCGTGCATGTCCAGCACTGGCTGTGGTGCTGAGGGCTATTTTACAGTACCAAGGGTAATGAACAGCGGGATCACACAGTTAGAGATTAAAGACATGCAATAGGAGGCATTTAGTGATGAAAACAAAAAATCTGACTGGTCTTTCTCAACACACTGAGGACCATACTGAACTTCACAAACTCTCTTATCCATAGGAAATATTTCTACCACTGCTGTTATAATCCATATCAATTGCAGAGTAGGTCCCTAATTCTCTGCGAGAGGCTGGCAAAGTGAAGTCCTGGCAGTGATGAAGAAAGTGGCAAAATTTCTACTTATTCTCACAAAATCAGTGTTTCACTGACCCTCTGAACTATACCACACATCTCCCAGCCTGCCTCTACCACCACCTAGGAATCATTTCATGTGAAAAATTGTGGCACAGGCAGACACATATACTGGAATTGTATTATATGGCCCAGAAAGGCCCAGAGTCTTGTGTTCACACTTGTGAACCAAGGGAGGAAATGCAGATTCCTCTCCAAGCTCCTTAGTATGCTTGAAGTCCATATGCTCCTCAGCTTAAAGATGTGTCCTAACGCTTCATCAATGGAATTTCCCAGCATTATCTCTCTGTTCATGTATCAATATGTGTCCAGACAATTTCTTTGGGCCACACAGCTGTTTTGTTACGAAGCAAGAAGCTGATAAGGCCAGCAGGAGAGGAGGGCAGTGTGCTGACCCTGACCAGAATAGCCATTGCTCCTTGGGGAGATAAGTGTCTCCCGCTCCATGGGAGGGCCTCTGGAGTGACCAATGAGTGTGGACAGGCACCAAGGTCCGCTCTCCCCTTCCCCTTTATAACCAGGGTGGGGAGGTGGGGAGTCCAAACCTGCTCTGAGCGGTCACTCAAGGGACAGAGCAACCACCTCCTGCACAATGACGCTGACCCAAGCCGAGAAAGCCGCTGTGGTCTCCATCTGGGCCAAGGTGGCCACCCAAGCCGATGCCATCGGGGCAGAATCACTGGAGAGGTAAGGCCCCAGCACTCCCCCAAAGAGGGTCCCTCACAGGGCATCGCTGTTGGGATGCATCCCAGGTAGAACCTGGGTGAGCGGGAACAGACTGGGACCGCTGAGAGTTGATGGGGAGTTGTGCTGCTTGCAGTGTAATCATCAGGAATTATGTCTGGGCTACTAAATGCTTCAAAATCTCATGGCAAGCCACTATTTTCTAAGCAATTCAATAGGCCTTTTTTTCCTCTTTATAGCAATTCAGAAGAATTCATAGCCAGGAGCGCTGGGAAGGAATTCAAAGTCATTTATACTTAGTGTCCTGAAACAGCATTATCCCTGTCAGGGGATGAACTTGAAGTGGTTTATTGTACAAATGATGCACTTTCTCTTACCGTTTCTAAAATAATAGCTATCCACTAAATTCACTGAATACTCAGAGTTCATTGTTCCAGTTCATAAGTAACAAACCCCTAGGAAAAAAGACAACTGGATGCCCTGCATGCAGCACGACACAGTAATCCAAGGTTCATACCAAATAACCAAGCTGGCAAAAAAGAGATAATAGTCTGGAAATTGTTCAGAAATTCTTATCTTATTCAATGTTATTTAAATTTTATTTACAGCTCACTATAAAGTATTGTAATTCTCCTTCCAGGACTCTGAGTACCACTCACATTGATTCTGGTTTGTTCAGCTCATTTTGGTTTGAAGGTCCTGGAAACTGGGTTACAGTGTACGAGAGGAAATTTGGTACAATTTGGGGCTATTTTTCACTAAAAACAAACAAAATCATAAATACATTAGGTTTTAAATTATTTAATTTTTCTCAAGTATGCACAGATTAGCCTGCTGTCCAATCTGCACGTGCTGCAGAAGAGCTTTAAGAGCAGAAAGACCTTCCCAATGCAAACTTCAAGCCCCCAAAGCTCTGTTACACCACTGAAGGAGCTGAAGGTTTACACTGTACTTGCTCAGAGTTTTTGCCACCTCACGGATGCCATTTCCACTGCTGAACCTCGTTCTCGTGTTCTCCTCCAGGCTTTTCTCCAGCTACCCCCAGACGAAAACCTACTTCCCTCACTTCGATCTCAGCCAAGGCTCGGCTCAGCTTCGTGGCCACGGCTCCAAGGTCATGAATGCCATCGGGGAAGCCGTGAAGCACGTTGATGACATTCGAGGAGCTCTGGCCAAGCTCAGCGAGCTGCACGCTTACATCCTCCGCGTGGACCCTGTGAACTTCAAGGTGAGCGAGCGCAGAGACTTCCAGGGGGGAAAACTGCCAACACAGAATTAAAGACCACAGGTCACTGGGGCTAATGGCACCTTGATCCCTGACTGCACTGCACAGCGTGTTGCCCACCTGATTTTTAACCTGAGATTGGATCTTTTAATGAAAGATCTGGCCTAGTGCAGGCAAAGAACTGCTCACGGGGCTCCTATGGTTTGTGTTAGACAGACTCAAGTCTCTGCTGCCTTTGCTGTAATTCATGAATCCCCCTCACACATCAATCTACATCACCTTGAACAAAGTCTTAATAAATTCTAAACATTTCCACTTTGTTGCATTTCCCCTTGGTGAGGAAGAAAGGGACATTTGGAAGAGGGAGTGGCAGCAAGCAGTGCCTTTTGCCCTTTTGGTAGGACATGTAGTTGTCATCCCAGAGCATGCTGGGCCCAAGCTCCATTGCAGACCCCTAGACTAACATCTGATACTGATTGTGATGGATTTAATCCTGTTTTTCCTTACAGCTGCTTTCCCACTGTATCCTGTGCTCCGTGGCTGCCCGCTATCCCAGTGACTTCACCCCAGAAGTTCATGCTGCATGGGACAAGTTCCTGTCCAGTGTTTCCTCTGTCCTGACTGAGAAATACAGATAAATGGCCTCCACAGAGGGTGAGGGAGGCACATCCCAGGCTCTGGGGAATCACCCCTTCCGAGGCAGCCCTCTCAAATCCCCTCTGCAGGGGATTGGTCATCTGCAAATCCCAATAAATAATTCAAATGTGAGCAATGGTCTCTGTGCTTTTATCTCCATGTGTGCCACCTGCACCTGACTGTGCAGGCTGGGGTGTTCTGAAATGGCTACACAGTATGGAGGGGGAAAGAGTAAGCTTTGTAAATTCATGTACTAATTCACATACTCATGAATTAATATACCAATTCATGTGCTAAGATGTACAAATTCAGTTGGAATAATGTAATATTCAGTAGAAACAACACACCATCGAGCAGATGCCCAGAACAGGCTGTAGCCCTGTGGCTGCTGCTGCTCACCAAGGTATACCCACCACAGACTGTTTACAGGCTGACCAGGAAAGAGTCTTTTGCCCTTCTAGGATATTGAATAGGCTCAGGCTTTTTGTTAGACCTACCCAAAACCCATCCCAGCCTGTTGGGAACAAAACCTGCATTGCCATGTGTTGTGATGCTGGGCATTGTCTTCTCATGCCTCTGTCCATGGGGTATGGACATGGTATCTAATGTGCTTCATGAACACCTGCTAGACAGGTTTGCTAAAGGGACCATCCCCTCAGCTTGGCATCTCTGATTTTAATATGGGGAGTTTTACATGGATTTGAAATTTGGGAAGATGAGGGATTCTCCATACGTACCTGTTGTGGGTTAACCCCAGCAGGCAGCCAAGCACTACACAGTCACTCAATCACTCACTGCCCCCCTTCAACTGGATGAGGAAAAGGAGAAAGGAAGAATAAAAGCAAGAAAAAGTGGGGGTCAAGATCTAACTAACAGAAATTATTGTTTGATAAGTGAAGAATAAGTGGAAGAAGAGGGAAGAAAACAAAACAAAACAGTTGATGCACAGGCAATCACTGCATTTTGTGGGTAAACTCATGTCCATCTAGTTCCTGAGCAAAAAAGAAGGTTAAGCCCCCTAAAACTCCCTTAAACCCTTCCTTTTCCATTTTATTGCTGAGCATGGGGTTATATGGCATGAAACACCTTTTTGGTTAGTTGGGCTCATCTGGTTGTCTCCCCTCCACTACCCTAAAATCAATTATTCCCTGGGTGGGGGCAGAGTGAAAAGCAGAGACAGCCTTGATTCTGTGCAAATGCTGCTCAGAAAAATCTGGAACATCAGCCAGGTGGCCAGTTTGGCCAAAAATCTAAAGCACAGCACCACAGGAGCTCCTGTCTCAGAGGACTTCTGACATGAAAAGATGGGTGCAAAGCCTTGAGCCTGCTCTGATAGACAGCCTGAGCTGGCACTGCAAGCAGTGATTCTTGTCTCATTCATGGAATTTAGGGACTGCATTTGGGCGAGGGGGAAAAAGGTGCTGCAGAAGCTCTCAGGCCACCAAATGGCTCTAAACCTGTCACTCAGGGTGTCACAGCAGCTTTTAAATCATTCTGCATCTGTGGGTCTTGGCTAATCTGCAGGTTTAAATCCATTACTTAGGTGGTAGGTCAGCATCTGGTGTGTCCCAACGGCTGAGAGAAGGATGTGGCAGTCAGAGGAAATGGCCTCAAGTTGCACCAGGGGAGGTTTATGTTGGATATTAGGAAAAACTGCTTCATGGAAAGGGTTGTCAAGACCTGGACCAGGCTGCCCAGGGCAGTGGTGAAGCCACCATCCCTGGAGGGATTTAGAAGGTGTGTAGATGTGGCACCTGAGGACACAGTTTAGTGTTGGCCTTGGCAGTGCTGGGTTAATGGTTGGACTTAATAGAGAGCTTTCCCAACCTGAATGGTTCTATTATTCTATAATTCTATGGTTGTATGACCAACTACCATGTACCCTATTGGATGTCCCAGTGTTTATGGGGAGAGGCAGGAGCACATGTCATGGTGGGAAGAAGGGAAGGAGCCCAGGTCTGACAAGCATCACAGGACAGACTCTGGGTCACAGTGCTTACCCTCCATCCTCAGGCACATCCCCTTCCCTGCCCAGGTGTCTCCAGGCTGCTGGAGGGATGGTGTTTCTCATGGCAGACCCTCAGCATGACCCGTGGCTCCTACTCAGAGGCCATGGGGTCCCTTGGGGCAGAGAGGGGCTGGATGTGCCAGAGCCTGGAGGACATAGGACCAGGGACACTTGTGGGACTCACCCCAACACCCACAGAGCCAGGCAGGGCCCTGGCCCATCCAGGGGGACTGGTGGGTCACAACAGGAGGCTTGAGGACATTCTGGCCAGGGTAGACAGGGCTGTGACACCCACAGGACATCCCCATGGGGCAGCCTGGCAAGGTGCTGCCCCCAGCCCCCAGCCTGGTGTGGGGCTGGTACAGTGGGGCAAGGCAGGGTAGCCGGGCCCCCCAGGGGCCTCCTTAGGGCTGGGCCCCCCAAGGCAGTCGGGGCCCCCGAGGCAGAGCCACAGCCACTCCCTGGGGCAGCCGTGCCCCCGCCCCTCAGTGTGATAAGATAAGGCCAGGCAGGGGTGCTGGCGGCTATAAGAGGGCGTCCCCAGGGGTGCTGCTGCCACCAATCCCTGCCTACTCCACCAACCGCCGCCATGCTGACCGCCGAGGACAAGAAGCTGGTCCAGCAGGTCTGGGAGAAGGTGTCCGGCTGCCAGGAGGATGTTGGAGCTGAGACCCTGGAGAGGTGCAGGCTTGGGGACCCCCTGGGCAAAGGGGATGAGTGGGTGGGAGCCCCACGGAGGGGCCGGTGTGGTGGGTCCGGCTGGGTGAGCACCACTGACTGTCCCGCTCCCCCAGGATGTTCGCCGCCTACCCCTCAACCAAGACCTACTTCCCCCACTTCGACCTGCACCATGGCTCTGACCAGATCCGTGGCCACGGCAAGAAGGTGGTGGCTGCCCTGGGCACTGCCGTCAAGAACCTGGACAACCTGAGCCAGGCTCTGTCTGAGCTCAGCAACCTGCACGCCTACAACCTGCGTGTGGACCCCGTCAACTTCAAGGCAGGCAGGGGACAGGGGGCAGGGGATAGGGGACAGGGGGCAGGGGATGGGGGACAGGGATGGGGGATGAGGATGGGGGTGGGGAATGGGGGACAGGGGATGGGGAATTGGGATCAGGATGGGGGACAGGGGATGAGGGATGGGGGACAGGGATGGAGGATAGAGGATGGGGGAGAGGAGGTGGCTGATGGGGATCAGGATGGGGGATGGGGATGGTGGACAGTGATCAGGATGGGGGACTGGGGATGGGGGACAAGGATCAGGATGGGGGAGAGGGGATGGGGGACAGGGATCAGGATGGGGGAGAGGGGATGGGGGATGGAGACTGGGGGACAGGGGACAGGGACTGGGAAGGGGCCCTGGGGCTGTAGCAGCGGTGCTTAGCCCTGTTTTTCCTCGCAGCTGCTGGCGCAGTGCCTCCAGGTGGTGCTGGCCGTGCACCTGGGGAAGGACTACACCCCCCAGATCCACTCTGCCGTCGACAAGTTCATGTCGGCCGTGGCCTCCGTGCTGGCTGAGAAGTACAGATGAGCTGCCACCTGTGCCCGTGTGCCGCCAATAAAGACTCTTTTGCCGCAGCGCTGAGTCCGTCTGTGCCGGGGCCGAGGGCTGGGGTGGGCTGGAGAGTGGCAGTGCTCCTGCCGGGGGGAGGGGGCTACCGGTGAGACCAGATGTGGTACAGGAAGGGCAGCACTGGCCATGGGCTCCCTGGGTGTCCCCCGGGGTCCTACCTGCTTCCACCCCTCCCCAGCATGGGATGCAGCCGATAGCAGGACCCCTGGAATGTAGCTCAGCCTGGCACTGGCTGTGCCTGCACCCCTCCAGGGGGCAGGGGAAAGGCTGTGCCAAGACAAATTTGGCCCTTGAGTCCCTTTGAAGGATTCTTGGGGGGTGCGGGGGGGGATGGGGGGAGGATAAATCCTGCCTGTCTCCATCTATCAAGACGGCTGTTTGGGACTTTATTGGGGATGCTGTGGGAGCTAAGTTGCTTGCATGAGCTCCAAAAGCAATCTGAGAATTCATGGGAGTGAAAAAAATCCACCACAGATCATTAAGCACAAAGCCCTTGAGCCACAAATCCCAGTTGGCTGCCAGGGAAGAGTCCCTGCACCTATCCCAGGTGTCTGCACCTCCCCTGGGATATGGGCAGGCTTGGAGTAGGGTGGGCAGAGCTGCAATCCAGCACAGGGACTCTGGTTTCAAGGCTTTGGAACCTGAATTTAAAAAAATCCTAGATCACAGTTGATGGGCTGTGAGATACTAAACTAGCCCTGGGTTTGCTCTGTGCTGTGACACCGGAGGGAGGAGATGAGGTCCTGCAGGAGAGAGGTGCCTGGGGTGTCCAAATGCAGGTAGAAGGCAGGTATGGGGTGTGCAGGGACCCTGCCTGCACACAAACAGGGCTGACAGTCCCTGGCCATGCCGGACCCTGCTCCTACAGGTGAACCCCCAGTGCTTATCCTCCATCCTCAGACACGTCCCAGTCTACATCCCACTGTGCTCATGTGCATTTACACCCATTTATTCTTGTGCCACCAGTCTGAAGTGTTCTGCTGCCTTGGCAGCCTCCCCCCGATGCACACAGGCTGTCCCGCCGCTGCTTCCCAGAAGATCAGCCCCCCCCCCGTCCCTCCCCCGTCCCTCCCCACTCTGAAGTGGTGCCAGACCGAGCTAATCTCCCCCAAACACAAACGATAAGAACCGTCGGCAATGGAGGAAACACGGGTGTGAACTGTCCCCTGCTGGACTGTGCCAGCTCCCGAACCTACTGGAAGCTCCACAAGCCCCCTCACCCTCCTCATCTTCCTCACCATCCTCATCTACCTTGCCCTTGTTACACTCCTCACCTTCATCATTTGGGGCACACGGGGGCTGGCCATAAACCACCGTGGCCCAGAGTGTCTTCATTCCCACAGCACTGGCAGCAGAGCTGATCCCCGTGGGCTCTGCCAGGTGTCCCCCCTTCCCAGGAGTCCCCCAGTCCCCACAGCACTGGCACCAGCACAGGCTGTGAGCAGGAGAGAGGGCTGGGGCAGGGGAGCTCCGGGGTCTGTGTGCAAAGAGATGGGGCGGT